GATTTAACTTGTCTGATCTACTCAATGTGACTTACTTTGTTTGGACTCCTTGTCATACTGATTTAACCTGTCTGACCTACATAGTGTGACTTACTTTGTTTGATTTAACTTGTCTGAGCTACTCAATGTGACTTACTTTGTTTGGACTCCTTGTCATACTGATTTAACTTGTCTGATCTACTCAGTGTGACTTACTTTGTTTGGACTCCTTGTCATACTGATTTAACTTGTCTGATATACTCAATGTGACTTACTTTGTTTGATTTAACTTGTCTGATATACTCAATGTGACTTACTTTGTTTGATTTAACTTGTCTGATCTATTCAATGTGACTTACTTTGTTTGGAGTCCTTGTCATACTGATTTAACTTGTCTGATCTACTCAATGTGACTTACTTTGTTTAGACTCCTTGTCATACTGATTTAACTTGTCTGACCTACTCATTGTGACTTACTTTGTTTGGACTCCTTGTCATACTGATTTAACTTGTCTGATCTACTCAATGTGACTTACTTTGTTTAATTTAACCTGTCTGATCTACTCAATGTGACTTACTTTGTTTGATTTAACCTGTCTGACCTACTCAGTGTGACTTACTTTGTTTGGACTCCTTGCCATGCTGATTTAACTTGTCTGATCTACTCAATGTGACATACTTTGTTTGGACTCTTTGCCATACTGATTTAACTTGTCTGATCTACTCAATGTGACTTACTTTGTTTGGACTCCTTGTCACACTGATTTAACTTGTCTGATCTACTCAATGTGACTTACTTTGTTTGGACTCCTTGTCACACTGATTTAACTTGTCTGATCTACTCAATGTGACTTACTTTGTTTGGACTCCTTGTCACACTGATTTAACTTGTCTGATCTACTCAATGTGACTTACTTTGTTTGGACTCCTTGTCACACTGATTTAACTTGTCTGATCTACTCAATGTGATTTACTTTGTTTGGACTCCTTGTCACACTGATTTAACTTGTCTGATCTACTCAATGTGACTTACTTTGTTTGGAATCCTTGTCACACTGATTTAACTTGTCTGATCTACTCAATGTGACTTACTTTGTTTGGACTCCTTGTCACACTGATTTAACTTGTCTGATCTACTCAATGTGATTTACTTTGTTTGGACTCCTTGTCACACTGATTTAACTTGTCTGATCTACTCAGTGTGACTTACTTTGTTTGGACTCCTTGTCATACTGATTTAACTTGTCTGATCTACTCAGTGTGACTTACTTTGTTTGAACTCCTTGTCATACTGATTTAACTTGTCTGACCTACTCAATGTGACTTACTTTGTTTGGACTCCTTGTCATACTGATTTAACTTGTCTGATCTATTCATTGTGGGTTACTTTGTTTGGACTCCTTGTCATACTGATTTAATTTGTCTGATGTACTCAATGTGACTTACTTTGTTTGGACTCCTTGCCATACTGATTTAACTTGTCTGATCTACTCAATGTGACTTACTTTGTTTGGACTCCTTGTCATACTGATTTAACTTGTCTGATTTTCTCAATGTGACTTACTTTGTTTGGACTCCTTGTCATACTGGATCTACTCCATGTGACTTACAAAATTTGCAGCTTTCCACAGGCAAGTGGTAGCATCTCCATGAGTGAAAAATTCTCGAGAGGGACGTTAAACAATATACAATCAATCAATCAATACTGTTAAACTTTAGTGAGGAGTAAAGAAAAGGCTTAGTAGAACATTTACTAAAACTTTTCCCAGCAGGCACACAACGTTGTTTAAACGTTGAATATTAGTTGAAGCTGGGTTTAGACGTTGATAAATCTAGATACAATGTTGATTCAACGTTGACTTTTCAACGTTGGAAATTTAACGTTGAATCAACATTGAATTCAAATTGAGTTGAATTGCTAACATTGATTCAACGTCGGATTTTCGCTGAGGGGGCCAATCCTATTTTTCGCTGATAGATAATTTGGACTATGATAGTGTTGGACTATAACACTGTCGAACCATAACGAGGTCGGACTTGACAAAGTCGCATTACCGTATATCATTACTAACAATTATAACTAACCAAAAAAGGTAAATATAGGAATTTTACACATTCAATAAAAAATATGAATTCAGTACGAATTTGCCAAAGTACGAATTAAGAAGGAAATTAAACACTTACTGTTTACAATATATTTATTTTTTCATGTAGTGATATACTTTATGTTTACATTTAAAAGGGTTCCGACCCTCTGCTATAAATTTCACCTTAGAAAGTTTTAAATTTGTAATATTGTTTTTCATAAACAACAATAACATTTGAACCATATGGAAAATAGTTTGAAGAATAAAGCGCTGCTTATTTTTTCAGAAATGATTTTTATGTGTAGATCATGAAATGAAGAAATTGATCACAGAGAATAGAAAGAGAAACGATTTTATTACCACAACATTAAATATATTATATGGGGTGCATATGAAAATAATACTTACTATTATACCTATTTAAATCATGTTAGAAAACATCATGGAGCGATGTTTCCTAAGTCAGAAATTCACAATGTTGTATGTGGTTGTAAGAAAAAAAATATATTTGTGATGAGGAGTTATCTTTCTTCTAAATTATTCTTCATGTGAAAAAAAGTCATTCTAATTAAGATACTGTATTAAGTACTTGAAATATTAAACCACTTTTAAAATGGTACTTAAAAAGACACAACTTATTCAGTTTATACCGCATTTGATTTTGGATTTAAATGTTTTATTGTTAAATATAATAAAACAATTACAAAGAAATTTGCAAAAGAAATAGAAAGTAATGTTTCCATCACAAGTTTGATCTCATCAAATTGACCACTCAGAGGTCTCAGGAAACTGATTAAAAAAACTATGAGTAGTATTACTATTTTGTACTCTGAAAGTTATCTGTCTTATCAGAGGGTCGCTATCCCTTCAACAATATTATTAAGGCATATTAGCAACCGTGCAATAAAACGGTTGAAAGTTTTATTAAGTATATAATTACTATATGACACCCCCCTTTCCAAAATAAATAATTGAAATGTTGAATCAACTGTTTTTCAACATATAATTAACGTTGATTATCAATGTTGATTCAATGTTAAGACTTCAACGTTGATACAAATTTTCAAAATCTAACATAAAATCAATGTTGAATCAGCATAGAAAAACAACGTTGATTCAAAGTTTATTCAATGTTGTGTGCCTGCTGGGTTGCTTCGTATTTTTGTTTGTAAGGATTTTTATGAAGTTTTGGAATCCAATATAGATATGGTTATTCACCTTGGTTGTAAGGAAATGATTACTTTAAACTAGACTTCTGATTTTCTTATCAACGTTGGACAAAATTTTGCCTCGTTGAAAAAAGGTTCATAAATAGATGCTCTTCTTGCATATGAACTTGGAGAAATAAACTCCATACAGTTGATACAGGTACATCTGTACTGGACTTTTGAAAGGAGCACTGACTTTTACAGTTGATGGCTTACTTTTACACTGGGACAATGTACAGAAGCTCTTTCACAATATAAATGTTTAACTCAACATTTAATTAAACAAAAATAACAGGTTATTTCAAAGCACATTTAAACAGCCCTTGAAGAAAACAGCAACCACCATATTCTTAACTCCTGCCCCTAGCACCATACCTATGACCAGAACAAAGGTTTTTTTTAAATCTATTATCAATTCTGTATATTCATACATGATATAGATTTAAAAATTCGAAGTAAAACATCAACTGTAAAAGTCAGTGCTTCTCGCACAAGTCCATAACTACATACACAAGGGAAGTTGACAATAGCAAATTTAGACATGTATACAGTATAAATCATAGAGTTACTTTCTGTCATTCTTTTGTCATCATTTCACTTTAAACAAGAGATATTTGTAAAACACTTATGCCCCCCCTCCCCCAAATTGGAATTTTTCCAAGTCCAAGGGGCATAACTCCATCAAAAATGCTGCGATCGTACCCAAAACAGAACTTGATCTAGATATTCAGCTGATAAATCTGTATGCTAAATTTCATTTCAATATGTGCCACCTCTGCAAAGACAATGAGAAAAATGAACGGAAACTGCAAATAAGTGGAATTTTTCTAAGTCCAAGGGGCATAACTCTGACAACAATAGTGCAATTGTATTCAAAACAGAACTTGACCTAGATATTCACCTGATAAATCTGTATACCAAATTTCATTTCAGTATTTGCAACCTCTGTGAAGAAAATGAATGGAAACTGTAAATAAGAATTCTTCTAGGTTGAAGGGGCATAACTCTAACAAAAATGGCGCAATCGTACCCAAAACAGAAACTGACCTAGATTTTCAGCTGATAAATCTGTATACTAAATTTCATTTCAATATGTGCCACCTCTGCAAAGAAAATGAAGAAAATGAACTTTAAATACAAATAAGTGGAATTTTACTAAGTCCAAGGGGCATAACTCTGTACAAAATGGCTTGATCATACCCTAAACAGAACTTGAGCTAGATATTCTTATGATAAATGTGTATATCAAATTTCATTTCAGTATGTGCAACCTCTGTGAAGAAAATGAACAGAAACTGTAAATAAGTGGAATTTTTCTAAGTCCAAGGGGCATAACTCTGTCAAAATGGTGCGATCGTATCCAAAAAAGAACTTGACCGAGATATTTACCAGATAAATCTGTATACCAAATTTCATTTCAGTATGTGCAACCTCTGTGAAGAAAATGAACGGAAACTGTAAATAAGTGGAATTTTTCTAAGTCCAAGGGGCATAACTCTGTCAAAAACGGTGCGATCGTACCCAAAACAGAACTTGACCTAGATATTTACCTGATAAATCTGTATACTAAATTTCATTTCAGTATGTGCAATGGTTGTGAAGAAAATAACCGGAAACTAAATGGACCGACAGACAGACCAACCGACAGACAGCAGCAAAGCAATATGCCCTCCATTCTTCGAAGGGGGGCCTAAAAAAATTAAATTCAGACCACTTAATTACATTACAGATTTGTATAAATCTTTATTTGATTTACAGATCTTGACACAGAATACAATTCAAATTATATACAGGTATAATTTTATATGTATATCAAAACTAATTAGGCTAAAATTATGTATTTTGCTAACAACCTATTTCAAAATTTGACACACAACAAAAACCAAATTTTGAAACCTTTAAAAGAGTTAGAATACTTTTTTTTAGTCAGGTTATCTGAGTAAAATCATACTAGATGCGAAAAATACTCCAGCTGAGACACATTCATATGCAAGATTATTAATATATACTCCATTTGAACTACAAAACAAAATAAAATTTGTGTGACCTCCATGATGCTTTCTTATCTACCAATGTGTTGTTTTCTTAGAATTGGAGAGCATGTTATGGAGGTTTCTGTGTCATGTGCACTCAAGCATGACAACAAATTCCCTATTGGTTGTTGTTCCCTGGGAACTGGAGCATGTCCAGAGGGTTTTCTGTGTCGTCCACGTCGGGGATCTTCCACTGGTCCTTCCGGCCGACGTCGTACATTTCCTTGATGACTGCCCTGATTTTGTCGCTGCCCTCGCTGGCCACTTCCTGATATTTGTCATACAGCTGTAGAGCCGTGTTGGCGTCTTCTACAGAGTCGTGGGTAGACGACTGAATTTTTGTTTCTATAAATGCAAAACAATTTAAAACAGAAAACTTTAAAAACATTGGTAGGCCCTCTATACTCCTCCCTCCTTTAACAGAGTCGGGAGATGGAGGCCTGTTTTGTACAAACTTTTATCTATACACTACCTGAGAATGCTTCCAAATATATAACTTATCACAGCTCTTAGAGATTTGACGTTATTTTTTTTCTCTCATATAATAATGTAAAAATTATGTTGTGGCCCTACCCCAAAAATGAGATTATGATTTGCACAAGCTTCTTCATGTCAAAGATTAGTTCATTTTTAATGATATCGATATTCAATCAGAAAAGCTCAAATGAGCCTTAAATCCACTCAGATGAGCTAAAATTACCGTATAAGTTGAAATTTTAGCAAGACACAAATTTAGCGATTTGTCCTGTAAAATTGGTATTTCATTTAAACATGTTTAAGCGAGATGCAATTTTAATGATTTTAAAATGTTCCCTAAAAAAGCTATCACAAGTAAAATGCAATTCATTTTTTAGCGATATACAATTTTAGCGATCTCAGCGACCTAGCTAATAATGCCAAAATTAAATCCTCACTAAAATTCTGCTTATACGGTATACAGATTATCCTGCCAGCATTTAGGAATAAAGTGCGATGTAAAATTATAATTTCATAGTAGTCCAACATTTTGTTCACCGGTCAGACACCTCACTGAGAGGGTTTGTTTGGATTGCTAAAAGCAATATAAATGAGACTATTTTTAATTCATTTATTCATTTAAATACAAAACAAATTTTAAAGGGACATAAAAAAAAGAAGAGTTTTTTGATCTTTCAATTTCAAATCACGTTCAATGTCTTTTCTGAAATCAAACCTATTTTTGTCCAATCTCTTGTATTCTACATACTTTTAACCTCTCAGAGTACTTTTACAAGTGAGCCTACTTTATTTATTGGAGGTAACTTAAAGTGTGCACATGTTCTCACTTCGTGTATTTTCTACTGGGTGTTTACTGTTTAAAATGGCTTGTTTCATAAGGTTTATTGAAAGAACTATATGCGGTATATTGCATATTTTTGCCCCCCCCCCCCCCCCCCAATAAGTCAACCTACTACTACAGTGACCTGATTTTTGGTTGATGTTCCCCAAGACTCAAGATTCAATATTAAATATTTATATATCATATATTTATATATAATTATATATATACAGTTTATAATATTTAGATATTTATTCATTCTCTGTCTTGGTATAAAGTAACACTACTTACTGAGAAAATACCAGGCCAAATATTTCAGTGAGATCATTCTCTGTCGTGGAATATAAAACAGCTGTACAGTGTCTACAATCTGGTCCTTAGGAACCTGTTAAAATCAGAGATAATTTACAGCTTAAAATTAAATTAAGTCCAGATACAAACAAAGGCTGTTAAAAAGTCTGGACTAATTCCACAGAAAAATATATTGGACAACATACTCAAGAAACAAGGGCACTGCAGAGCAGAGCATCTCCTTACAAATTGCATGTTACATATAATGGTATTAATTATTAATTGTGAAACTCTACTCATGCACACATGCACAAGCTATCTTAACTTTGTAGCAAAAGTTTTAGAATCTTTTTGTGAAAGGTAACCGCAATTTTAGTTTTTAATATCGGTAGATAGTAGATTTAAATCGAATAAGAATGAATGTCAAAATTTTTTTTACTTCAGTTTCAGTTGACCGACTAAGGAAATAAAAAGGGACTTGACTGGCTCAATAGTAAGTTCAGTGTATATGCGTTCTTTACTCACAGTAATATTTAAGATGCCCTGCTAAGGAAATAAATAGGACTTGATTGGCTCAAAACTAAGTTCAGTGTATATGAGTTTATCACTCACAGTAATATTGATGACTCTGAAGTCCTTCTTCAGCCCGTGTCCAACAAACACAACCTTCGTGTCTACTAGGTATCGGAGCTTGACATACGTGGACTTCAGTGTGGTCAGGTGCTTAGTGGACAGTTCTGGGTTCAGGTCACCTGGACTTATACCTGACCACTGGGTCAAATAATCCACTACCTGAAAGTTAGAGATAAAAGTGCATTTCTTCCAGTTAAGATTTTCAGCTGATGGTACCATTGTACATTATGCAATAGTTTTTAACTATTGTAAAAGAAGCGGAAACATGGATGATGTGAAGACCTTGAATTGAACTATGTGGAGATAACAAACAGTATACAATCTCAAAAGTTCATTCAACAATATAAAGCTGGAGCAGAGCAAACACAGATCTCCAAAACATCAGAGGATCAGGTGCCATGGAGGAGTGAGCATCCCCTGCCAACTAACTTAAAACAAGAGGCCCAAGGGCCTTGAATCGCTCTTCTGATAAATTGTACAAACTATCACTTCTACTTAAAGCCTCTAACTCTAAGTTAATAAGACACAAGATGCATCAACTGGCAAAATGTGATGATTCTTAGCCAGTTAGGACTGAAGATATTTCAATATATCTATAAAATACCACAAGTAGGTCACAGTGACCTGAAATTTTCTGAGAAATTAAGATGCGTTTATTGACAAAGATTGATATTTCTAAGCCAAGAAGTACCTGAGATATTTAAAAGTAGGTCATCATGACCTAATTTTTGGTCAACATTCACTGAAAACTCAAGATGCCTCAACTGAGTCAGACAAAGTTTAAAAATTCTATGCCAATAAGTACCTAAGATCTCTGAAAATCCAAAATGCATCAACTGACGAAGTTTGATGCTTCAAAACCAATAAGTACCTAGCTAAGATACTTAAATATAGCTATAAAATGTCAAAAGTAGGTCACCATGACCTACTTTTTGGTCAATGTTTTTTGAAGACCCAAGATGCATCAACTGACAAAGTTTGATGATCATAGGTCTGAAAGTATTCAAAATATGCCTTTTAAAAAATTTGAAAGCAAATGACTGCAAAATTCAAAATGCAAGTCACAGTGACCTACTTTTTCAAAAATATGTTGGCTCCAAGATGCCTCAACTTACAAAATTTAATGATTCTAAACCTGATCCCAAGTAAATTTTTCATAACACCAAAACATTCATTAAAAATTCATGATCAACTTCTCATAACTATAAGTTTATTTTCTTAAAAATGTCCTTCTTTCAACAAATGAACTTATAAATCTAAAACATCATGGATATATTGAGGTCATTTGGAAGTCCAAACCACTTTTTAATCTATGTTACTATGTTACCCTTTTATATTTCCATTTTTCTAGTCCAACCAAGTGCATATCAAATCACAAAAATTTTAAGCAAATTCTAAATTACTGTGACTTTTCATCATGTTGAAATCTCATAGAGATTCCTTCCTTTAAGGTGGAATAAATAATGGAGATGATTGGATGAAATGATCATTTTTGAGGTGAATATTTCTTAAATCTACCTGTTCTTGGGTTGATATGTAGTCATCAATAAATGGTATTCCCTTCTTCTCACCTTTTCTAAAACAAATGAAATGAAAAAAAGAAAATTATTATAAATGATAATCAATTGTAAATTACACAAATATTGATAACGAAGTTTCTGAAACATCTTTCATGCATGTATTGACAAAAACAGGGAAAATCATTGATGCTGAATGACCACAGCTTTAAATTCTTCGTTACTTGTAAAAAAGGAAGAGAATAGCAAGCAGATTTTTATATATATATATCTGAATCCTGGTTTGTTCCTAAGAGCTAAAATAGTAGAGATTGATCGGCAAGTAGGAGGGGATCTGGGGTTTCTCTCCTAATAGGGTGTTTAGGAAGAATACCAAAATAACAGAGAAAGTACATCATGGGGGGGGGTCTTGGGGAATCACATGGGTATCTTATCCTCCTTGTTTCCTGTTACCCATATGAGTAACTGAGAACAGAGCGGATCAGTTGCCCCTGTGTCTGGATTCTGTTTAATTAAAAGAACATGATGCAGTTAAAGACTACAGTTGGTTTTATTGATCTTTAAAAGTCACAATTTCATTTCCTTAAATCTACATGGACATGTAGTTATATGCCCTCCACATATTGATATTTTTCTTAAGGAATGCAATATGGCATTTAGGAATATAACAAGAGGCCAATAGGCAACAATGCTCACATGTGTAACTTTGGCCCTGCTGTTCTTCACCGCATTTCACCTTTGTAATATTCTTTGTGGCTCCACACTACCCAAGGGGGGATGATCAAACAATTTAAAATCTATACTACCTCAGGAAGCTTCCACATACACATGTAAGTTTCACGTTTTTCTGGCCCAGTGGTTCTTGAGAAGATTCTAAATATTCTTCCTCTACATTTCAATGTAAAACTCACAATTCCATATCGTGGTCCCATCCTACCCTTGGGAGTATGATTTGAACAATGTAAAATCTACACTATCCAAGGATGCTTCCACATAAGTTTCAGCTTTTCTGGCTCAGTGCTTGTTGGGGATAAATTTTATATGATCCCAACTTATTTTTGTCTTTTCTGATTATATCCCCTTTGAAGGAGGCTTAGTCCTTCATCTTCACAATTTAAATTCCCCTTCATCCAAGAATGCTTTGTACAGTTGTACTAACTTGAAAATTAAAATGTGACAGGTTTACAGACAGACAGACAGATGGATGGATCAGGGACAACAGGTGATCAGAAAATCTTTCTGTTATAAACATTAAGCGCAGGAGAGCTCCTAAAATCTCAACCATAATTCAGACTTTTTTTTTTTCATGTTATAGACATGTACTGACTTAAGAAAAATTCAGATACACTATGGATTCTTTTAAAAGTATTGAAAATATTTACACTAATAAACAGTTGAAATTTTTAAATGTGAGATTGTAAATTATTATGTTATACAGTAAAGGTGTGCAAAAGAAATATCATCACATACTGTAGATTCCTTATTTTTCGTGAGTGCTTTTTTAGTGAAGTGGCTCTTTAAGGTCAAATCGCGAGAATTAAAATTCCTGTATGGGCGGTTGATCAACAGAATTTACAGAGATTTCAGCACCATCAAAATAAAAGTGAGTAATATTTTTTTTGGAGCGATGCTTCTCGCGAAATTACGCCGAAATTAATTCCTCGTGTATAATTAGGAATCTACAGTATTGATGGATTTTACTTGTGGTTGAGGACTTACCCCCTTAGACACGTCATCCTCGCGCACGTAAGATGAGACGGTTTAATCATGGAGCGGGTTCCATCACTCCTCAGCTCGGACTCTTCCTGAGAAAACAAAGAGAAGGATTCTTATGTGCCAAAAATGTGAATGTAGAGAACAAACAACAAATCAGTATTTTCCAATATAATACAGGAATTCTGATAAATTTATAATGTGTGTGCACATCTTTTCTTCTTCCTTTTTTTTCGTTTTAGATTTAAAATAAAATTCTTCCTTAATGGTTGAATCACTGAAGTCAAATTATTTTTCTCCTTCACAGAGAACACAAGGACAAATGGATTGCGCATTACAATCCCCCCACCCCCCCTCCCAATCCCAAGCTTCTGCGACTTTTTATTTGATCCAAAAACTTATCCAAAATACTATTATTCCTTGTATATTTTGATATCTGATATAATTTTCAGCTTTTGTTAAGTTTTAAAGATTGGCTCTATACAGTCTATAAAAATACTAAAGATTAGAATCAAAATCTTGTAAACACACAATCAGGGTGCCCCATCTCAAGGGAGATTTTCAATTTTAGTATAACAACATATCCAATGAAATTAATGTGGCAGACCCTGTGGCATAATTAGGTGACAGATTTCTCATTTTAAAAAAAAAGGGTGAGACTGAACTTTTGAGCTTGCTTCAATAATAGAAAACATTGTACAAAACAAATTCAATTAACATGATTAAATATATAAATTTCTTACACTTTGAGCATTCAGCATGAATGCTAATAGGCTAGAGAAGTCACACCTTGGTCAGTTGGACTGATTTGTCTTGAACCCCCAACAGAGGAGATTACATAATTTAATGGAGAAATTTACTTCGTAATCTATTACATGTATTAGCAATATTAACAGTTTTCTTTTTTAATTTTTGGGCCTAAAAAAATAATAATTTGGTTCTCAGGCCTGCCCGCATTTCATTCAACAATGCGCATTACCAACTTTTATCCTCAAATGAATAAAATAAAATTTCTCTCATGCGCTCTTACAGTGCCAAAAAAAATCCGGAATTCCCGACCACATTTAGACTGCATTTTAGAAATCATTAAAACGTTTGACAAACATCAAGATAATCCAAACTTTTGGCCAAGTTAAAATCGTAAATATGGCCGTCAAATAAACAGGATTGATTGATTGTATACTGTTTAACGTCCCTCTCCAGAATATTTCACTGATATGGAGACGTCACCATTGCCGGTGAAGGGCTGCACACCTGCTATTTGATACGGGGCAAAAACTTATCCAAGGAATACTATTAGTCGCCTTTTACGACAAGCAAGGATATAATTTTCAGCTTTTGTTACGGGGTAATAAATAGGATAATAAGGCGCCAAGATTAAGTTATGGTGGTATTGATTTCAGTCAGTGCATATTCATGAGGGAATGTACTTCCATGATACAAAGTTGGGCGTTCTGAAGGTTTTTCATGCTAGAACTCGATCAATAACGTTATCAGAGACGGCTCCCTCAACCTCAGAACTCCGATGTCAGCAAGATTCGCAGATTTGATTTAGTGTGGGTAAACCAAAGACTGATGAATTTGACAATGTTTAATAAAATCATAAGCTCTATTTATAGTGCTGAAACACTTAGATAAGTTGTGTTACATAAGCAATTGACCAGATGCATCACTAAAATTTTGGGCTCTGCAAGTTTAACATGTATTGTTTTTAGGATGCCATTGTTTCATTACACGAATCATCAGGATGTAGAAGATGAAAGAGAAAGAAGCAGGAAAGAAATTATTTTGATTTCTACACTCGATGTTGAAGCACTATTGTTTGAAAGCTGCTAGTTTTGAAATTATTTATATATTTTCTTTTTTTAAAAAAAAAAAAAGGAAAAATTTGCCTCCCTCCCACATTTATTTTTCAAAAACTGGGCGCATTACCAAGTTATTAATTTTTTGGCCTTTAAAATAAAATAAAATTTCTCTGAAGGCAACCCCAAAAAAATATATATTTAATATTGCTAATTGTATTTGTTGCAACATTTAGAAATCAGTAACACCTGACAAACTCCAAGACTGGTCCTTTGGCCAAGTTAAAATCTTAAATATGGCCATCAAATCACAGGCTCAATGGCCCAAGATTAAGTTACTGTGGTATTGATTTCAAGTGGAGGTCAATGTAAATGAAAATTTGCCCAAGTGAATAAACAACAACCAACCAATATCTAATTTGTTAGTCCTTCAAGGTTTTTCAGTGTGTAGTGGAGGAATCGATCAATTTAACCCCATCTGTTGATTTTTCCGTCAATCCTGGCTTACGATTGGTGAAGTCTGTCAAGCTCCGCCTCGCAGGTATGAAATTTAGTGTGGGTAAACCAAAGACTGTCATACAAGAGGCTGACAATGTTTAATAAAATCATAGAAAATGGCTTTTATATTTAACAGTTTAATTTAGTTGTGTTACGTAAGCAATTGACCCAGATGCATCAATAAATTGTTGGGTCCTTTAATTTTAACGACTCGTTTTTAGGATGCCATTGTTTCATTACACAAATCATCAGGATGTAGAAGATTTGAAAGAGAAAGACTACCTGAACATGGAAATAAATTATTTTGTCATTCTACACTCGATGTTAAAGCATTTTCCTGTATATATGTAAAAGTTGCTAGTTTTGAAATTATATTTACCTGAAAATATAAATATGAAAATTAGCGCTGTTTTTCATGAGAAGAAGATTTTTAAAGAATTTTCCTATATATTTCTATATAAAACTTGGGCTGGAACCAAGTTACTAATTTTTTTGGCCTTTAAAAGTGAGCATTTATTTTTCACTACATGAGGAACCCCTATAAGACTTTCATCTTTTCATTTTATTTTTAATATTGCCACCAAATTTTCATTAATTCCCAACATTCTGCTTTTAACCTCTCCAAGACGTTGGTCCTTTGGAGGAACAAACTTGAATCCCACTGCTCAATGGCCCAAGGATACTTTGTGGCAAGTTTGGCTAAAATTTACAGTCTTCTAACAGCAAGTGGAGGCATCTCAATGTAAATCAAAAAATTTGCCCAAGTGATGTTAAACAACCAACCAACCAATATCTAATTTGTCTAGTCCTTCAGGGGTGTATCAGTGTGTAAGTGGAGAAATGATAATTGAATACCTGATTAAGTGAGACAAATTCAGCATCCAGCGCAACCACATCTCCCTCCTGTGGAAATTCATCTTCTGAGAGGGGGTCAAAGGTCACCTTCCTGCTAGCTGGATTGACCAATCCAAATTCTTCTCTCAGAACATCGATGGTGATAGGATTTGTCACTGTAAGATTCATTAATGCAGTGAAAAACCCTCTAAAATGAAACCAGCAGAATTGATTTACATTTAATTTAATTCTTTTTCTTGCACTGTACAATCTGCTAGTTTGTCTATTCTGACAAAAACATGTTTCTTTAATAGTGCATGTCTGAAAAGATTTTCACTTTAATTGTTTTGTGTGGCAGTTTATTAGTTTTGATCTATGTCACTTTCACCTACTTTTTAGTTACACACTGAGGAGACAAGACACTAAACCAATAAGTATTACATGAAATATTCAAACATAGCCAATAAAAATTCATAAATTAAGTAATTAAAGATGATTTTCGTTTTGGTTGACACACTTCAGTCCAGAGACACAAGAAGCATCAACTGAAAAAGTTTGATGATTCTCAACTAATTAGTATCTGAAATATTTTAAAATGGCCAAGAAATTTCAAAAGTAGGTCAAGGTGACCTACTTTTGGGTAGACACGTACACTCTAAAGACACAAGATGCATCAACTGGCAAAGTTTGATGATTCTCAACCTACTAGTATCTGTTATTAAATGTAAAACAACTGTTAAGTACTTGTATAAAGACAATTAAGTCCTACTTTTTGGTTGAAATTAAATTCTTCAATGCCTTAGGGATTCCACAGAAAATGCTTTAGCTCTTTTATGGCAGGGGCATAAACCTAACCCTGAATTGGACTTGGGGGTGGTTGGGGTTACAATCTGGAACACTAATCTATGATGTGCTAATTGTTCTCCATTATCAATGTATTTTCACAGTTTTTCAGTTGATGGGGTTAAACTGAGAAAATGACACTTCCTGGGTTAACATTACTAATATCATGTCCAACCCACGGAAAAATTAACGCCACCGAGAAATTCTAGCACAAAGTAGATAATTGTTAATTAAAATAATCTGGACCCAGGCATAATTACTTGTAACTTCCTCTTTCACATTAACAGCTTTCTGTATTAATGGCTTACCAGTGAGATCATGGAATTTGGTGAGCTGTCTTCTCTTGAAGTAAATCGTACACGGAACTTTCCAGTCCATGTTCACAGCACAGGCCTCATGCTACAAGCATGAAAGATAAAAAATAATCCAAGGCCTGAAAGTTTCAATGGCATCGAACATGAAAAATAATTTCAAACATTTTTTTTATATTAGAAGATAGCAGATACTTCACATGAGTGACTCGAGTGACAAAAAAATATGTTAGGTATTTAACAAAATGTCCAAGTTACAGAATAGAGCAATAATTATGCCATATGGTCTGAAAAAAACAGGGTTTGAACTGACTAGACACCATGAAACATCTTCATGCTGAATATTTTACTCGTCTTTTTTCTAGTCTTTTTCCAGTCAATATAGAACTATTAAAGATTTACTGACTTTAAATGAATATTATTCAAACTTTAAATCTTCTAGCATTGTGCTATTTATTGCCTATTAAGATGGTAAAAATAGTGTTTAGATTTAGAAATTCAAACTTTTAATCTTCTAGCATTTGTGTTAATTTAATATTTTGTGCTATTTACTGCCTACTGTAAATCACTTTTTATTCGCGAGAACTTTATTGTCGCGTAATTACGCGAGACAGTGTGCTCGCGAAAATTTGATTCTCGCGTATAATAGTATTCCTTAAGATGATATAGAACAATAACCACACTTCGTGAAAATTTTGTATCTCTAATCATGAGTCAATGACTATCTCGCGAAAATAAGGTGTCGCGAATAATTAGTGATCTACAGTATTAAGTTGTGTGCGAGTACATGGTTATCTTCCGTAAATGTCATTCATATGTCATTCAAACATAGCCTTTCTTTAGGACTTCATCCGCGAGAAATTTTCACGTTTTTCTTGTGTGAAAATAGGACAAGGTATTTTTGTTATGTGACAGAATAATTTGTAATTATAATTGATGCAATTTTATTTTCAAGCTATTATTCATTGTGAAAATTTTCAAAGAAATCGCTGTTTTAATGTTTATTGTTTTTTTTTCTTTTGCAGATGCATACACGGACTGACACATTCAGTCATGTAAAGTCTGGGCACCCGCTAAATGGCATTCGAGCACAAGAGCTCGATGCCATTATAATGTATGCCTGTTGTTTCTACATACTAATCATTTCCAAGTTAATGAAATCACATTTTATCAATGAATGTGTAATTTTGTATTAGAATAAAGAGCAAAATCAAGTAATATCAATGAAGGAAAATGAAATCTTGATCTGTTTGACTTAATTCTTCAATTTTCAGACCAAGGTAACATTTTTCAAATTAACAACAAAAACATGAAAATGGCCAAATATTCTTTTATAGCTAGTTGTATTTTTGGGGCATGAATTCTTTAGATCATCAACTTTTTGCGACACCTTTATTTTCATGATATGGTCAAGACATTTACTTATTATTCAAGAGACCACATTTTCACAAATTTTGATTACTTCTCTTTGTAATTTTTAAGATACAAATGAACACAAGAATGAAATTTTCAAGAGCACATTCTTTTTTCATAATTACGTGAAAAAAGAAGTTCTTGCACATGAAAAGTGATTTTTCAGCTTACTGTAGACGTACTATTTTCCACGGTGTCATAATTCCGCAGAATCTCTATTTCTCTTTAGTCCGCAGGTAGAAAATTACGCAGATTTCTTGAACTCTCACTATATTCCTTATACGTATATTGAGTACGATGGGATAAATTTCCGTGGAGAAATTGTGACTGCGTACATAGCGTAAAATAATACCACACGGAAAAAAGTACTTCTACAGTATTTAAAAATGAAGATGTGGTCAACCTTGCAATATGACTGACCTTTTCTATTGGCAAGATGGAGAAATCATTGAACAAGTACCACTGGGTACAAGTGACTTTCTCCTTCCTTTGGTGGTACGTTTCCCCGACATTAATACAGGTCACCAAGTTCCCAGCGGTCTTCTCGTCTCGGATGTGATAAATCACGGCCAAAATCTCGTAATACTTTCTTGTCGGGGCAGCGTCTCGAGGGACTGGTTGCTGAAATTAAACAAGTTGGAAAGAAAATGTTATTAATCCTCAATTTATTTTTTTATGCCCCTGATGAAATTGTGTATACAGTACAGACAAGTGGAAGCTGTCAATGTGACAATTAAATTGTGAATTAATTGAACCAGCTGAAATCAAAATTGGAAAGAGGGAGGGGGATGAACATTACAACCTAGAAGCAAGCTTACTACCAGGGTACATATTCATTGTGTATTATCAATTCAGACAGGACATTCAGGAAGAATTTTCAAAAACTTATATATCGTTTGACTGCTAAACATGATATCTCCAAGCTCTAATTAAGAGTCAAAATCATGCACAAAAAGACACCCTGCAAATAATCACCACATCAAAAGAAGTCTGAATGGTAGATTCAGGAAATATATTAAGTACTGTAAACCAGGGGGTTTTTTTGCGTGTCATAAATTTCCACAAGTACTGCGACCTTCTTAGGCAAATATTTACTGCCCCGAATCATAAATTTTGCTGTGTAGTTTTACAGAATTTTCCCTAGGTCACCAAAATTAAATGCAAGTTTCAGACTGATTTTGCAAATAAAAGATGACACAAATAATAATTGGTTTACAGTTCATAGCACATGAATTTTCACGGTTTGGGTCCTAAACAAGGGTAATCCCTGAAATCGACAATTTTCCCCATACCAAATAAAATTGACAACTGAGGTTATAAAGTTTATAGAGGTGAAAAATGCATGTATGGTGATAACAACAAATCTATTGACTTGGGTATCCTAATAAAACAATCAATCAAGTTGTGATACAGTGTAAAACTGATTCTTATAATAATTAAGCAATTCCTAGTGCCTCCTGAAAGGAAATTATACTTTTGTAGCCAATAAGACAGCACACATATTTTTAAATAACATCAATTGATTAGGATGATAAATACATATTGTAATCATTGGATTAGTGATTCATGAAATAAATGTAAACAATTAGTTATTCATGAAATAAAATTGTAAACAATTAGTGATTCATGAAATAAATGTAAACAATGCTAAAGTAATACATTAAAAATCTGTATAGTAGAGTTATTAATTTTTAAAACACTACCTCATTGAAGTTTTATCAAATTGAATGAAAATTACAAAAAAGATTTATACGAGTCTCAAATTGGGCAACAGGCAGTTATACACGTATATACCGGAAAATATATCTTTTGCTTACAGGGCATTTAGAGGGCAAAAGCTCTATACAGTCATGTACAATTAACTTAAAGAAATTCAGTCATTCATTACATGTAATTAAAAATGCATAAACAGAATCATAAATTAAGTGTTAATTGGATAAATTGACACTTCAAAATTGAAGAAAACATTGATCAACCAATTGCAAGCAAATACAGCTCTTCTGAAATCTGTACAGGTAACAGATCTGGAAAACACATACCGGTACTAATAAACCAATCAGAGAGCTGAAAACACATAACACTCAACCAATCAGAGAGCTGAGCCAATCAGAGAGCTGAAAGCCCACACTACTCAATCAATCAATTGGAGAGCTGAAAGCAGCAAGGCCAACATTAAATAATGTTTGTTTGCCCTCTCCCGACTCAGGATTTTAAAAAAGTACACATGTATGCAGGAATTAATTCTCCACAAAATTTCAACATCAATGCTGAATTTTTCCAAAAAAAAAAAACAAACAAACAAACTATTTTCCAGAATGCATATTAATGAAATTTATTGTTTCCAAAAGGTCAAAGAGAGTTTTAAGTCGGGTCTTTTTTTTGCAAGTTGGTAAGGAGACTGCAACCGAACATTTTTTTAAAGTTGGCTATACATGCTATAGGTAACAACTTTACCTTTCCTTCAAGGTTAACTTACATCATCTGGGTACTCCTCTACATTGAGAGTTCCGTCTGGATGTAGGTCCATCATTAAGCCTAGGGGAATCCATTGACAGTCGATGTCCTCATCATAGTTGTGTGCTGCGGGGTCACTAGGAAAAAGTAAAAAAAAGGCCCATGACCCACAATGCTCACCTGAGTCACATAGCTTTTTGTCATTCAACATCGCTTCTGATAGTTATAAACAATTAAGGTCAAGGCAACACAAGGAAGCTTGTGTCACATTGTATGTTCATATTTATTAAGAATTTTTATAATAAAATACATTATAAAAATCTTAACCATCAAATACTTGCCATCCATTTGATTGGGGTTGAGGGTAAAGGGTAGCATGATTTGCACAGTTTAACATATTTTTAGGGTTTTTTAATTTAAAGTTTTTTATTTCTTGTCCTGAGATTCAAGGGTATTTTCACACAATTTAATGCATTTATTATCCCCTGACCTCCCCCAATCCACCCACCCTTTCTCTAAGAGGTCATGTCCTTCGTGCAAAATGGTTCTTACAAACAAGTTTAAAAATGTCCAAATACCAAGCCAAACAGAGCATATACAATTATAGATGTCTACTCTTAACAAATTTTGACCAGAAAAGTTAACTTTGGCCTTCACTAGGGTGAGCTAAAAATTAATGGAATCTTAATAATACTGAAGACCACCTTCTTGCACATTCAAAAATATTCCAATAAATCCTAGGCTTAAAGAAATATATTTTTTGCTTACAGCATGTCTCTCTCGTGCCTGAATTTACACCCCCCTCTTCGACAGGCGTTACCATAGCGACACATGACAGGGTTCCCTCCAGGGGCATTCATAAAGCTTGTCTGTGACGAAGACTCATTGTACTCCTCCTTACGTTGTTTTAAAATCTAAAAAAAAAAAAACAAAGAGTGATGTCTTCCATTTTGAATTGTGCATTGGTGAAAGAATTTTATATGAGGGCAAAAAAAATTTGCAAATGCAAAAATTTCAAGAAATTATGTCTAATTTTCAAAACATTTATCTGGATAGGCATGTCTATTAGTAGGTCATGTAATCACACAAAGCCTGGATGATCCATGGTAAATACACTCACTTACATACAAAATGCACATTTTTTAAAAAAATTCAAACAGGAAATATCCACACCACATGTCAAAAACAAGGAGGACATATTACTTACCATGTGCTGCATTTTCCAAAACTCATAGTCTCGAGCATTCTCTATGTGGCAGTTGACCGCCACCACATCAGGTACACTCTGTATGGTTTTAATCTGAGTCTGTCAAAAGAAGAGGAAACCAGGTCAACAATACTCTATTGTCTTAAGACTGAAATCCTTTAAATTCATGGGGGCCAATTTTGGTGGATCGCTTATATTGAACAAGGTTGTGGGGACATTATTTCTTGCAAAGGAAAATTGACTTTGTAACCCTAATTTCTTAATTTGTGGAGAACATTAATTTGCAGATGAGAATTACCCATGAATTTCACGAAAACTGAGCCATCCTGAAACCCAACGATTCCAAAGTATTTTATAAATGACTCATTTTAGGCTCTCAATCCAATCTTAATCTGAGTAAATTTAAATATTTAGAGACACTTTGCACATGTGATCTTACATGGGGTTGATACCGGTCGCACACATTACACCAGGTCTGCATGTTTTGTTCTGCTGTCAGCGTACTCTTAAGGACGTCACAGAAAGGCACCTCAAAAGGGGGCCTATTGCTGCCTGAAAAACAAATTTTAAGAAAAATTAACGACACATATAGGAATTGTAAATAAAGCAGATAAAAATTCTAGCAAGCATATAAAATATGTTAATATCAGAATTCCATTTAAAATCAAAATTGATTGATTGTGTACCAAAAATCAGCTAAATACTATATACATGTACATGCAAAAGTATAGAAAACAGATGTGTAAATGAGACAAATATATATGCCCATGCTGACACCTTGTCACAAAATTCTTCTTAGTCTTACCTTGGGGGTTACAGTCTGGGTAGCTCAGGCTTAATATGACATTAGTATCTAGTTTACCTGGGGGGTTACAGTTGGGGTAACTCAGGTTTATGATGTTGGTATCTAGTTTATGATGTTGGTATCTAGTTTATGATGTTGGTATCTAGTTTATGATGTTGGTATCTAGTTTACCTGGGGGTTACAGTTGGGGTAATTCAAGTTTATGATGTTGGTATCTAATTTATGATGTTGGTATCTTGTTTACCTGGTGGGTTACAGTCAGGGTAACTCAGGTTTAAGATGTTAGTATCTAGTTTACCTGGGGGGTTACAGTCGGGGTAACTCAGGTTTATGATGTTGGTATTTAGTTTACCTGGGGGGTTACAGTCGAGGTAGCTCAGGTTTATGATGTCAGTATCTAGTTTACCTGGAGGGTTACAGTCAGGGTACGTCAGGTTTATGATGTCAGTATCTAGTTTACCTGGAGGGTTACAGTCAGGGTACGTCAGGTTTATGATGTCAGTATCTAGTTTACCTGGAGGGTTACAGTCAGGGTAACTCAGGTTTATGATGTCAGTATCTAGTTTACCTGGAGGGTTACAGTCGAGTTAGCTCAGGTTTATGATGTCAGTATCTAGTTTACCTGGGGGGTTACAGTCGGGGTAACTCAGGTTTATGATGTTGGTATTTAGTTTACCTGGGGGGTTACAGTCGAGGTAGCTCAGGTTTATGATGTCAGTATCTAGTTTACCTGGAGGGTTACAGTCAGGGTACGTCAGGTTTATGATGTCAGTATCTAGTTTACCTGGAGGGTTACAGTCAGGGTACGTCAGGTTTATGATGTCAGTATCTAGTTTACCTGGAGGGTTACAGTCGGGGTACGTCAGGTTTATGATGTCAGTATCTAGTTTACCTGGAGGGTTAGTCAGGGTAACTCAGGTTTATGATGTTAGTATCTAGTTTACCTGGAGGGTTACAATCGAGGTAGCTTAGGTTTATGATGTCAGTATCTAGTTTACCTGGAGGGTTACAGTCGGGGTAGCTCAGGTTTATGATGTCAGTATCTAGTTTACCTGGAGGGTTACAGTCGGGGTAGCTCAGGTTTATGATGTCAGTATCTAGTTTACCTGGAGGGTTACAGTCAGGGTAGCTCAGGTTTATGATGTTGGTATCAGACTGTCTTTGGGTCTCCTGTCCACAGCGGCACCTCAGGGTCGTCACAATCTTGAATCCCAAGATTTCAGATATCGATGACTTTTCCTCAGTTCTGTTTGAAGAAATATTATAAAAAATTAATTACGTTTAAAAAATTCGTTTACATAGAAAAAATAAAAAACTTTTCTGTTTTTTATGCACCAAGTAGATAGGTCCTCATTTTTTCACCCCAAGGGAAAATGTATTTTATAACTTTTATAAAGAGCTATAATGAAGGACAGTAGGTGCATATACACCAATCAACATCAGCTGCTTTCTCCCCCTAGGCATCTAATCCCATCTCAAGAATTTCTAAGGGTCTAAATTTTAACCCTGTTTCTCCATCATTTGAATACATGTATGTGTATTAATAGAAGTTTGATAATACTAATACAGTTGGGGTTTACTATGAAGAAATCAACAGAATACAGACTGCTAAAAACAGGATTTTTTTAAAACTGGATTTAGTTTAATAAAGTCATTTTATCATCACATAACTTAAAAATACTTATTGAAATAACAGAGTATAACCAACCCTGTATTGAATTAAGTTTGGTGCCATCCATGGACAGTCACTGTGACACATGATAAATGCTATGTACATGTACCGGTATATGTACTGAATATAGGTCATAAACAAATTTCAATATCTCAAGGGCATACCCTAGTTGAAATTAGAAATTTAATTTGTTATTTGTTTTTGCCTACTTTGTACTTTCTGTAAAGTGTTGCTGCTCTAAATAGAATTCACATTCTATTAATCAAAATTTCAAGTAAGTAGGCTCATGTCAAAATTATGATTGACCATTACCAATTATTTTGTGTACTTATCAAGTCACACTCTCAATTTAAAGAAAGCAGCAGCACTTTTCAAGTTAAGGAAAATATTCTTTATTTATATTCCAACTAGAACTGTCCAATAGGGACAAATACCCCCCGCTGGGTTTTTCAGAGAAGGTGCAAATTCAAAAATACTTTATGGATCTAGAGGTGTTCACAATTTACTTACAAAAATTTGCAGTGAAATATAATTGCTCATCATGTTTCTTAATGAATGAAACAAATGTGCAACCAAATGAAACATCAATGCTAATACATTTTTATTCCATTGTACCATTTTTTTTTTTTATAATTTTTTCATATTATTTTTTTTTTTTATTACTGCATTAAAAAAGTATATTGCAATTATGTGTTATGTCACTATGCAAACTGATTGTTGAAAAAAAAACCATTATACAAAATCAAATTAATCTTGACATATCAATTTGAAATGCATTTTGAAAATAAAGAGCTGGTCATCCAGTAATGAAGTGCTTTGACAGACAATAAATTACAATTAAGAGAATAAGAGAAGAGAGATCTTTCATTCTTGTGCCTTATTCCCTGGAGAAAGATAACACACACACGCTTGATAAGAGATATGCCTTAACAACTTCCAACACCAAACTCATTAATTTATTTTTAACTGGATGCATGTCCAGACATTATTCCCAAGAGACAAATGAAATTACATTATCTTCTGTGCAATGTAAAAAGTGTTTTTAACACTTGATGATGTTTCTTTTTTTAAGTTTTAATGAGTAGTTTTAAGCTGTAGTATTTTTGAGCAGATATTCTAGATTCTATATCTCAAACCTTATACATGAGCCCAAAATGAACAAGTCAATTAAATAAAAAAAAAAAACCTGTAAAATGCAAAAAAATTAACAAAAAGAGTTGAAAATTCCAGGTGCACACCTTCATATGGTGAATAATGAGTGTACAAATTTTCAGATTAATCCTTGCAATAGTTTCTGAGAAACGGTCAAGACAAAACCACAAAATAGAAATGAAAAAACACCTGTAAAATTCAAAATAATAATCCAATCAAGATGAAAATATCAGGTGCACAACTTCATATGGTAAATAATATGTGTACAAATTTTCAGACAAATCCTTCCATTAGTTTCTGAGTAATGGTCCGGACAAAGTCTCGTCTACAGACAGACGGACAGACGGACATGGTGATTCCAATATACCCCCCCTAAACTTCGTTTGCGGGGGGTATAAAGATGGTTAAGGTCTACTAAATGTATGCCCTTGCAAAAAAGGCGATTTGATTAAGCTACTCGATGCAAAATATGCCAAACCTGTAAACAAAAACAAGGTAAAATTAAATACAAACTCCCGATAATTATGGAATAATCACATTAAACAAAGATTTAACATTGGTATCAATAGCCTCTCTAAAATCTGTAAATACTATTCAAACAATATCACATGAGCTCTATCCACAGGATAAAGGGGTAAACATGGAATAATTTAAAATATGTCATGTTTACCAAAATGATGTCGTGTTGGCATGTTCGTTGCGATCAGTAATTTGTTTAAAACCTGTGATTTGAGATTTCTCTAGCAACTTTTTTTAATGCATTGAAAAGTTTCCTGGTTTATTATGCTGATACAGTTTAAATTTGCAAATAATTTTCATTTTCTGGCATTATGAGGGATGTCCAAATATCTATTTTGGTGTGATGTCACAATAAACATTTCCCGTATAAATTGAGCCCCGCCCTCTTTATGTCGCCTTAACAATGCTGTGTACTGGTTAAATGTTTCTGGGAAAGAAGTCGTAAAATTGCAAGTAAAATTACAAAAAGTGACTAAGAAAAACAGTTGGAGGTGCCAAGAGGGATAACTCTTTTCACTTGTAAGGTAAATGTTTAACCATTAAAGCCTTACTTTTCAGTGGAGGGATTGTCTGTTGACCCTTCCTCTGACTTGTCCCCCTCTTTACCCTCGTCCTCAGCTGTCTCTGACCCCTTGTCCCCCTCAGTCTCTTTCTCGGCTTTTTCCTCCTCCAACTGTTCTTTCCCCTTCTTTTTCCCCTTCTTCTTCTTTTTCTTCTTGGACTTGGGGGGTGTGGTTTCCACAGATTTTTCCTCAGGCTTTGAGGCCTCTTCCTCTGTTTTTAGACTGACCTCTGACACTTCCTCTGTCTTAAGGCTGACCTCTGATAGCTGCTCAGACAGGTTTTCATCTGATTTAGTTAAACTCTCTGAAGACTTGTTCAGATTCTCTTCAGACTTTGATTCTTTCACTGGCTGACTTTTGTTACAGAGTTCCTAAAAACAAGCAAATACAAATTTTACCTTTCCAGATTATTTAAATTGTCTAATGCAGATGAACGAAACAAAAATCATAAGCATTATAACCTTCCATGTTATTCAGTACTGCCTAAAATATATGTATCTAGGTCATTTTGTTATTAAGATCAAATTACATGTATAATAATTGAAGTGATCATATTTCCCTCTTGCCTTTTTTTTTTTTTTTTTAAAGAAAACTGGTTTGCAAAATACATTGAATAAAGGAATCTACCAGACATTAGTTAACAGATTAAAAAAGAATCCCTGGTTTAATTTTTAAAATCCATATTGATATTTTATGGGATATAGTATATCTCTACTCCATCATACTAGAGGTTTGTGGCGAAATACTTTTGTACTTGGCCTCAAGGTATATATAAGGAGCGTAGGGACTTTAACCAAGGCTATTACTTGTAGGAGTATTTTTTTTTATATACATATAGAGAGAGAGAGATTTATTTGGTTTAAGTCATACATAAAACAAATACACAAAATTATACATCATCTTATAAAAGACGAAAGTTGACAATCAAGATTTTATAAATAAATAATTAAAGTAATAATATTTAAAGAAATAAATTAAAATTCAAGGTGACTAGATAGATACCAGGATAACCCAATAAAGCTCGAGAGCTTATTTCCAATGGGGTCCTAAGATAGATACCCGGATAACCAGTATATGGATATCTCCAGACCTCCCCAATACAGTAAAACTCGAAGCAACTGGGACTTTAAAATTACTTTGCTTTATCTGTAATTCATTATATCCATATAAGGAATTCTTTAAATTTATATAGCTGGGGATCCAAGATAACTTTGCTATCATCCGCGAGTATTTGCGATATCCGTGTTCGTACTAAATGAGTTTTACTGTAGCTTTTGTACACAGCTTTTTGCTATGATGATGAAACACAAAATAAACACTTACTGCGTGAACTTGTTGATATAGGAATCTCTGCCAGCTCTGTATCAGGCGAGACAGATTGATTCTCGGGTCATTCTCCTCGTTCTCCGCTAACACGAGGCTCAAGGCTGAGGCCTCAGGGATAGTCCGGAAGGCTCGCAGGAAGTTACTGGCCTGGAAGATATAAAAAAGGCAAATTCAATCTGTGAGAAAGTTAATGGTTTTGATATGATAAAAAAAAAGAAAAATTCCAACTGTTGATACTTTTTTTATGTTCACAGGGAAGATACCAGTTATGAGATTCTGTTTTGATTGTAAATGGACTGAAATTATCTTTTCTAAATAAATATCAAATAAAATATAGGTTTGAAGAGTTAAAAATGAAAAACTTCAATTCATTATAAACACACATACACCATCATATCTAATAGGTTATCAATCAGGTTTTTATGATTTTACAAAAATCCTATAAGGAATGAAATTCAACAGGCTGTTAAAGTGAATTCATTAAAAACATGTTTACAGTGACACTGTCTAACTGTACTTGGCTATTGATAAAAGGCAAAATAATGATATTTTAAAATGTACATGATTTGGGGAAATAATTTCTAGACCTCCTCTGAATGTCTGACTCTCATTGTGTGCTTATAAATACCTGACATGTTTGTCCTTTCTGGTTGTCCAACATGTGAAACAGGAATCCAAGCTCACAGGCCAAACAGAATTCCCGCTCACACAAATGGCTCAGGAGAGAACAGCGAAGAGGCTCAATAAAGTACAGCACCTGGTAAAGGGAAGTAATCCAAGATATAGGAAGAGAGTTGTCTACCTTGGGAATTTAATTTCTTTTAGTGGACTTTAAATAAAATATTCAGTACACAGATGATACACTGTTTGTAAGAAGATGAGACTTAAAAAAATAGGAGTTGTATGTGCATGAATTTGTTAATGTTCTTTTTTAAGTATTAAAACAAATACAGATACTGCATCAGACGAAAATGTTAAATGAACTCATTGTTAAACTTAAACACATGTAAGTTTTAGACATACAACATCATGAGTATATTTGATGTGCAAAACCCGAATGAATAATTTTGTACATTACCTGAAGCATGCAGTTACAATAGGCGTTAGGTATGTCGGTCTCCAGACCCGCGAAATGTGTCTTATTGTAGTGTCTAAAGTCAAAGTCCTCTAGTCCCAGCTTGGAGTACTTTAGATCCACTTTTCTGAATCGCTTTGGTACTTTAATAAATGGGTCATCCACTGGTAAAGAAAAGAATTTCCAAGTGTATGCCAAAGTAAGTGCATCTCAAAACAAAAAGGAAGACATACATGTATGTAGTAAACTTCTGTTAGAACACAGAGAAGGAGACACAACATTTTAACAAAATTTCAAAATACAGTAAATGTTTATAGCGAACACACTTATGATGAATTGATGGTTTAACCAAAGGGATTTTCATTTCTCGTACCTTTAAATTATATAGTCAATTTAACAAATAGCGTGTATAATGAATTACGCTTATAATGAAGTGAAATTGTCTGTCCCTGGCATTTTGATGTATGCGAGTTTTATGTAAATCTACATTACTGAAATAACAAGGAATCACTTCATTTGGACACATGCTTTGTGTTTCCACTATCCATGCTCATTTTTTTATGTCCTGGATACCAAATGTTTAGGAACTTCGAAAGTTTTTTTTCCATTCCAGGTTTTTTTTTCTATGTTTAGCACCTATTTAGCATTCATATGTGCCTTGGATTTTGACAGAATCAGATTGAGATAGACTTTTTAATAAGAAAAATTGATTTATGAAATCTATCCTTAGAATGATGTAATTTTATTGACTATAAAATTCATGTTTTAATTTTTGTTTTGACTTGTTTACATTTTTGTGATTAGCTAGACAGGTTTATGAAAGGCAGCTGGATGCAGAGAGAGAACTGAAATTGCCCTATTGTATAGTGTAACAAAAATGAATGCATACTTCTACCGATCGGGGATTCAGGTACTGCCCCCTTGCCTTTCTTGGACTTCTCATTAACCTGTACGTATGGTATCTGGTTCCGTTTCTCTTTTCCCGGGTTTTGGGCGTATCCCACATTGTGCTGCATTTTCATGGACCGCAAGATGTCTGCATCCAGGGGCTTGGGTTTTCTAAAAAAGATAATAGAACTCGTCATATCTGAGTGACCTGTCCAAAGAACAGAAAAGTTTTAGACTGCATGCAGGCTACTGTAGAAGTACTTTTTTTTCTGCATGGTAATAATTTACGCTATGTACGCTGTCACAAATTTTCTGCAGAAATGTGTTCCATCGAACTTTAGACATATATAAGGCATATAATGAGAGTCTTAAGATATCCGCATAATTTTCTATCAACGAATTGAACAGAAATAGAGATTCCGCGGAATTATGACCCCATGGAAAAAAGTAAATCTTTAGTAAAGTTAGTGTGAATATGAAATGTCTTGTAATTAACTTTCAACATTTTAATGATGATAAATAAATAAATGTGATAATGGAGTCTAGCACTTCCTTTAAATAAATAATTTTTATATGTTGATGCCCTGCCTCACCTCTGAAAACTGCAAATGGAAGAAAACATGCAAGAAAAACCTATTAAATGTGAAGATGTACCATTTATTTTGATTTACTGGTAAATGACGTATATAAATAAACACATGCAAGAATAAATTGACGCTTCCAGCAAAGTCATTTTCATTTCCTGTGGGTTTTAAACTTATTTCAAGACTAATATATATAACGCATTATGTTGACAATTAGGCAAAAAAGCCCATCCCTTGCACTTCATTCTAAGCACCTTTAAAAGCAGTATGTCTGAGTTTTACCTTTAAGTTCCCCTAAGTAATGGTATAATTTACCTGTATGTTCTCTGAGACAGGTATTCTGGCCAATCAGAGAGCAGGGTTCCATTAGTGGGGTACATCATGGGGATAATGGAGTATGGGGTGTATTCATCTGTGATGTGAATGGGTTGTATGGGCTCAATCTAGAATACAAAGAGAAATCGACCAAAGAATTTTTCATTTGTGATGTGGATGGGCTAAATGGGCTCAATAAAGAATACAAGCAGAAAACAATCAACGAATTTATCATTCGTGATGTGTATTGGCTGAATGGGCTCAATCTAGAATACAAACAGAGACTAATCAAAGAATTATTATAATTAAAGAATTGTTCTATGTTTCATCTTTTTCTGAAAGAATTACACATAGTTGACATACAGAATTAGAGTTAGTTTACAATGCAGTAGGGTGAACAACTTGACATACAGAATTAGAGTTGGTTTACAACGCAGTAGGGTGAACAAGTTGACATACAGAATTGGAGTTGGTTTACAATGCAGTAGGGTGAACAAGTTGACATACAGAATTAGAGTTGGTTTACAATGCAGTAGGGTGAACAAGTTGACATACAGAATTGAAGTTGGTTTACAATGCAATAAGGCCTAAAGTAAACAAGCTGACTTACCGGATCAGGGAATTCTGTCTGCTCTGGGTACTGGTTGTAGCAAGGGTGCTCACCAAGGGCAAACAAATGCAGATAGCCTAAAAATAAATTTAAGAGTCAGTGTTACTAAAAATAGCATAAACAAATTAGCCATATGATGCCTTTACATTTACTGTAGTTATTTGATACTAATTTTTTACAATGATATTACATTCAGATAACCATATACAGTTAACATATGACGACAGTAGTCATCGTCTAATATTTTTCCATGGGAACAAACATGGTTTAGGAGATTGGAATGCTCTCAAACACATTGATGCATTCAAGTTTGTATCTACACAGAATTTAAAAAGAAATATTATTTTCCTAAAATTTTCTCTACTATTTCTTTGAGCCTGGAATAATCCAATGAAAGAAATTGGGGGGGGGGGGGGGGGGGGGGGGGGAAAGGGAGGAAGAGTTAAAAAAAAAAGCAGAACTTTCTCCAAAGAGCAGAGATTTTATTCCTACCTCCCGAGTCTCCAAAAGCCAGCGCCTGACAGCTGTTAGAGATGTCGAAGCTGAGCAGGGGACTACCGTGGGTGTTGATGGGGTAGACATTCATTGAGGACGGAGTCATGGCGGTCGTCTCTATGATCTGAAACTGGCCTGCCTACAAGAATCCGTTAAAACAGTTCATAAGATACAAAAAACTGCAGGCACTTTTACACAAGGAACTGCAGAATAGCTTACAATAACAGAATATTTAAACTTATCAAGAGAGACTATTTCACAAATTTAAAGTAAAAATTACTTTTCTCAGAATGTCATTCACTGCAAGATATCATTGAATCTAATTCTATACTTGCAGCTACATGTATCAATTCCAGAATATAGATTAAAACAATTTCAAGCTTTCCATTAACTTGTATGCATAAACAGAAAAAAAAGTGGCTTAAACAGTGTATCTTATCCCTCAGACATTTTCAGAAACAAAATTGTTACATAGGGATTACTGAATTGTGTTAGGTATTTTTCTTTTTGCCTGATCATGTCAAGGAGCACATGGTAGATGTGACCAGTCGGTAGGAAATGCTTACTCCTCCATGGCAACTGATCCCACCCCAATATTATAAAGGTCCCAAGTTAGCTCTGCTCCCAATTTTTATAGTTTCAATGACCTTTTGAGCTTGATTACCGTTAAAATTATCTCCTGATTTCATTAACAGAGAAATCAGAAACTGTCCAGCGTACCTGAGATGTGATGACCATTTTATTATTGTACGTGGACACGAATCGTAGAAACATGGGGTCTATGATGACTTGTATAGGGGCCATGGCTCTCATGACTCTCAGATCATACACCATCAGGAATCGGTCGGCCGTCAAGTTACTGTGTCTGTTAATAATAATACATCATTCATTATTATTCATTAAAATTGCTCATTTAGACGACTTTTCTGTGAAAAGATTGAGACTTAAACAGATGATAGCAGAAATAAAAAAAAACTTGTAGTTGTGTTTGTACCAAGAACAAATTACTGTGTAAGTACAGAGTATTGCATACTACAACATCAATCATTATTTGTTAATGTGCTTTTAAGAGATAACTTTGAGAAAAATTAACAAATGATAGCAGAAAGAAAGACAACTTGTATTAGTTGTGTATGTGCAGTGAAACCTAATACGACATACACTGGAAGATCAATTCTATATCAGAATAGACCAGGTGGGATTTCACGTTAAATTTCTTTCCCATTTTACAATTTTTCATGTGTTTTACATAAAAAATTGTAAAATGGGAAATAAATTTTAAAAAATCAGAATTCACAGTGTGATGAATTGCACAAGTGTCAGATTAGACATTTTTCACTGTACTAAGAAGAGGATTTAAGGAGGCTAGGGGGTCAACAGATTATTTTTTTTATTAACCACCAGATATAAATTACTTTTTTTAGATATGCAGGTAAACTTCGTTATCTCGACATCGACGGGACAATCGGAAAATGTCGAGATATCCGAGGTGTCGAGATATCAGAGTCGAGACTCGACGTCCTTAATTTTACTGCATAGTAAAACCGTAGACCTCAACTGAACAGACGTGTAACTTCCTACATGTCTTCAATAGACTGTAACTCATTTGTTTCGGCTATCACTCTATATTTATTACAAAATCTAATAAGTTATTCTCAAATGAAATTTATGAACTGCTTTCTTTTTTATTGAAATCTTCTCAATTTACTAAAAACAGTTTTCCTTCCACTAAACCAGCATTAGATCCATGTGCAACTAGCTCTGTCTGAACAGGATACGAAATGCGCTCTATAAACTCCAAACTGGAACGGTACAAAGTCGACTTCTGAGAAAAAAAAAATTAATGCGTATATTTTTAAAAATTATTTCATTTCATTTCTTTTTTTATTTCATAATTATTCATCAATAATTTCAAATTCATTTTCAAACCAAAATTTAATTGGAATTGCGCATTAAACAAACTTAATGATGTTACACATACATTTACGGCTGATGCAATAGTCGCGCATGTTGTAGATTTGATTGCTTCCTGTTGAATGCATTTTTACCTCAATTTTTAAATTAAATTGAATTCAATGTGAATATTGTTCACTGTTATTCAGTTACTTTTTAACAATTTTTTAAGGTTTAGTTAGATTTAGACATAAATAAACGGTTTTACATTTAAGCAGAATCGAGAAGATTTAAACAATAAAATGCTTTCTTTGTTTGTTATTACTGGAATGAACGGAAGCAGCTGTTGCAGAAAAAATACATAACACGCATAAGCGGGTTATGTGAATTTTTTCTGCAATAGCTGCGACCGTTCATTCCAGTAATAACAAACAAAGAAAGACATTTTATTGTTTATATTTATATCTGTTTAAATAATCAATTAAAGTAGGATTAAAAAGATTAATTATTGTATTAATGATGCGAACGTCTTTATACGTTTCATTGATGGAACAGCCACTGATTAAGAAATCTGTACCGGCGACATGCCTACTGTAGTTTATGCAGTGATGAACGCAATGGGGTTTCTTAAGAAATAAAGGAGAAAATATTCATGCAGTGGATGTAAATATTTATCAATGATACTACTAAAGCTGAACATTAAACAATTATAACGTCTCAAAGACACCGAGGGGGCTTGGGATTTCTCTACAAACACATTTCTACAAAGCAGTATGTAGTGGAAACATGGGTGTGAAAGGTGTGAATTTCTGACGACATCGAGAGACACGGAGTCGTCCATGCATGACGAGCGACCATCTGACAAACAATTAGAGCAGAATATTGCCCCAATGTCGACATATACCAGGTAAATTTTGCTCTTGGGACTGTGAATATATGTCGAGATCAGCGGGGTGGTCGACATTACCGAGGTCGACATATCAGAGTTTTTGTCAATCATTTATATAGTAAATAATGCTGGGACCGCGGACGGACATTGACATATTCCAGGTTGTCGACATATCCGATGTCGAGTTACCGAAGTTTATTATATCTTGAGCTTTCAACTATCATCTGGCAAAGAAAAATTTCATAAATTTTAGGTTTTAAATTTGATTATTTAATTATATCTTTATATGGAGCTCTTCTTCTAAAGGAGATCAAAATAGTCTAAAAATGGCCACGACCACCCAGCCTCTTTAACATTGTACATTACCTTGTTGAAAACCCACAGGTGACCAGGAGATTGCCTTGTATATCAAAGTCGGACAGGGTACCAGTATGGGCATCCAGAACGTGCTCCGGTTTCATGGTCCCGTGGTCAAATAGGGTCACCTGAGAGGGTAAAATTCAAATACACAAGATAATAAAACAACACACTGTATCATCATCCTATTTCATCAATGAAATTAAGTTTAATATGTAAATTTACGTGGAAATATACATGCATATAAATACTTCAAAACTCCTCACTCTGAACAATACATTCTACATTATTATCAAAAAATAGATAGTCTTACATACATGTATAACCTGAAGTGGTCTCATTCCCAAAATTATCAATTCTCCCCACCCCCGCCCCTCAGAACGTTTCCCTTGTACCTTTCCTGCAGTGTCCCCTGCACAGATGTACTTGTTGGTGCCTCTTAATATAGCACAGCCTGGCTCAGGAATATCCACCTGTTTACAAATAGAAATATTTTCTCTGAGATTTCATTTTTTTTTTTTTTTTTGGTTTTGCAGAGAAATATTTTTTTCTAAAACAACTTTCCTAGGTACACAACATGTTTATACATAGGCAAAATTTTTCATGGGGATAAAATGTTGTTGATTATATAAGATAATATGTTGTTTATTAATATTTATACCTACATTAATTTTTTTGTTTAAAACAAAGACAAAACAATGAATGTTAAAAATCTATAGTTAGAGATTAATTCTTGATGCTAAAAATTATCTACGAAATAGATGAAATTCAAATTCAATCCCCACTGAATATTCTATTTTTACAGTACTGAGAGACATATAAAACTGAATTAATTTTGTTGCTATGACTAAGTCCTTCACCTCTCTAATGACCTCCTTGTGTTCGACCTCTATCTCTATGACCTTTGTCTGGTGACCTCCGATGATTACCGTGGAGGGTCCCGTCATCATCATACACTGCATGTTGTGCATTGTCGGCCCTCTACAATTTTATACACAGCAAATATCAAATGAATGACTTTAAGTGAATGGTATACTATAATACAATATATGGTACAGTATTATAGAAAAAAATTAGAAGCCAATATTACAGTTGGGGCTACATGTATAGACTCAAATCAACATAATCCTTGTATTCTACATGTTAACCTTCAAGATACTAAAGTAAACAAATATATATAAGCTTTTACTTAAGTTTAATTACACCCAGAAAAGTGATTCTAATAGTATGTAAAAACTAGATATATTATTATACATGTAGGTTCACATGTGGTTTTTTCCTCTGAAAAGGAAAAAAAATATTAAAGTAAGAATAAATAAAGCCATTAAGGCCATATAAAATTGAAATCTTGGTTCTCAGGCCCGCGCGCATCCGTTTTGAGGTAGCCGCATTGCCGATTTTATTGTATTTTTGATAAAATAAAAAGTTGGTATTGCGGAGACCAATCCGGGAAAAAAAATTCCGACCTCATTTGTTTCGTACTTTAGTATTCAAATATCACTTCCGGTAGCCATTTACAATGAGATTTTGGCTACTTCGTTTGAAAATACATTCTAGGACATTACCTACGATGTTTACACGCTGTTAAGCAATGGATAAAGCAGAAATTTTGACCAGAAATGGAAAGTATATCTGTGATTAAAAAAATTATCTTTATGTTAAAGAAAATTCGGAAATTAAAATTAAAAAAAATACCTCCCTCATCTACTTTATTGCCAATAAAATTAAAAATAAAATGCCGCCCTCCCGCATCTGTTTTGGAGAAAATTGGCCTGAGAACCAGGGAATTAAATTTAGATAGCCTAATTAATAATCTACAATAAAACAAGCATCAGAGTCCATAATACATTCAAATTTTAAGACATTGCTTACATAACATAACAAACAAACAGAATCTAAATCAGAATTATGCCCCTTTAGCATATATTTCACTGATAATTTCATACTCTTGTCACCGGGTTCACAGGTGCATGAAAGTCAGTCAATAGCTCAGTTGGTTAGTGACATTTGGCGCCCTATGAAAAAACCCACTGTTTCCTTGAAATATGCTTCTTGCATTTTCTTAACTCATAGAATTTGGAGACGAATTTCTATGAAGAGGGTGAATATGTCACTGGGTTTACAGTGCGTGAAAGTCAGTCAATATATCGGGTCTCAATAGATAAGTTGGTTAGAGCACTGGCACGGTGCGCCAGAGACCCTGGGTTCAGTCCCGGTTGAGACGAGACTTTTTTCACCACCTGTGACACTCTTTTGCAACCACAGATATTAAATAACCTTCCATCAACATTTCTACCTTTCTGCTACTTTCATGGCCTACCTGTAAGTGAATATGGGAACCCCTCTCCTGTTGTTACAGGCAAGGCAACTCTGAGTAAGGGAGAGAACTCCTCGCGCCAGCGGGACAATCTGTCGAACGTCTTCATTCACGTGAATTTGAAAGGATGTGTACTTCTGTAATTCTAATCCGAAGTATGATGTCACATGACCCTATATGATAAAACATATAAAACATTCAAACTTGTTAAATCCGAATGTTGTATATTCTGAAATCTTGCCCAATATCTTTAAACTTGAAGCCCCTTTCCATAAAAGTCTATGATGAAAATATTATCTTATCCAAAATGTTGTCTTATCTAGGCATTTTTCTGGAACAAGTAGTGCCAAAATTAGACAAGTTTTACCACTGTAGACGCAATATAGTTTCTTTTAGTTTAAAATTGTATTTCTATAAATAAACCCAAAGACATAATTTTAAACCAACCTTTAAACATGTGCGAGAAATATTTCACAAATGTTTCACAATCTGCTCATGCAAATATTAAATTTTGCAAACCACTTATTTTGTTTCGTTTTTGTAGAGAATGTTTGCTCCGTGTTACAAAAAACAAATCGTTGAGGACTGATTTCAGACTAACAAACTACACATAAAAGATGACGTGAATACTACATGTAGTTGCGGTTTACAGTATTCTGAATAATTTCTCATACGCACCCCCTGGTTGCCCATCCAGAGTAATTCCTGAGTATCGTAGCAGAGCGTGGACACACCAAACCTATCCCCCCCGTCCACCAGAATGTTATTCATCTCCATAAAATCCTGGTTAAGATCCCCTCCACTGGTATATACATCCTACAGTGAAATAATTAAACAGGAGTTAGCGTTAGAAAACTATATCTAAAAGACATCAGTTATCAATTGTACATTCTAGGATAAAATGAAACACCACAGCTCAAGTTAAAAAACTTATTGTGAAAGATTCTCATTTATCTTTACATCTTAATTTAGGATAAAATGAAACACAGCAGCTCGATCAAGAGAGAAAACAATTTCTGAAAGATTTTCTGCTAAAAAAATTTACTCTGATAAAGGAATAAGGGTCGACTTTATTTTACCGGTCCCCAGATCCGCAAGATCCTTGCACTCATTGGACTATGACATAACATTTACGTCACTCAACTGATAAGGATTAAACTTGCACACTTTTCGACTGAATAGGGTTAGTCTTGCACCTACCTGAGAGATTAGGGTTAGTCCTTGCACAAGTATGCGATTAATTAGGGTTAGTCTCGAATCCATCCAAGAGATTAGGGTTATTCCTCACACATTATTTGTCAGATTAGGGTTAGTCTAGCATCTTCCCTGAAGATTTTGTCTAAATGTCTTAAACTAAACTTTTAACCGTAGAATTCGATTTTGGGGTCAAAATGGCCAAAAACTTCATATTTTTATTTTTTTTTCGATCACTCATGCAATCTCATATATACTGAAGTCGCCTTCGGCGACACTACATTTTAGCACCTTTTTCTGGGGACCGGTAAAGTAAAGTCGTTCCAAGGAATAAGGTTTTCATTAAATTGAAATGTACATTTTAACTTAAATTTAGCGATTCAAAACATTTCAAAAGCCCATCAAATAACAAATGCTATAACCTGAATTACAATATTACCTGGTTGGTATAATGTCCTTGCATCATCATGCCATCATTTCTCCCAAGGTCTGGTCCACTGTGCCCCCCTCCATGCCCCATGTGCTGCGGTAAGTGTGGGGGTGGGGGCATGCCTTGGGGTATGTGTCCAGGGTTAGGTGGCATGGGTGGGGGGCCTGCATTGGGGGGCAGGTGTGAGGGCGAGGGAAACTGGGGGTGCAGAGGCATTCGGTTGAAATTCATGTTGCTCTGCTTTTATATGGTCATCTACAACATAAAATATTCATTCGTTGTTATCATTTCTTTATGATTTTAAAAGACAAAATAATTTTTGAGAAAAAAAAAAGTACAGTATCTGTGAACTGCAAGTGCAACATCTCCCTATATCAGTATATCATGGGATAAATAAATACATTTTTTTTTTACAAAATACCTACTTGTAACAGGTTCCTTTTAATATTTTAAATAACATTTTTGTGTGACATACTTTTTTCAATAATGATATGACCCACTTTATTTAAATATTTTGCATGTGTTTTAGTTAAAATGTGTTTAAAATGTGTTTTGTCTCCCCCCTTTTACACACAACCAAAAAAATCACCAAAGCATTACTTTCCCGGAACTTCAGTTCTTACCTTAGAGCAAACAAAATGGATAAATAAGGAGGAGGCTGAATTTTGCCGTTACGGTCTCCTAAAAATATAGAATTCCCTTTCTTTCTCCCTCGCAAACCAAATTTTCCAACAAATAATTTTTCACCTCCTTATGTTGAAGATTTCGTACTAAGAGAGAGCACTCTTCGCAGATGAAGTTGAATTAAAGTACTAAGAGTACTGACGGGACTTGTGTTATGTTCTCTTCTTATCTTATTTTCTGAGGGCAGTGAAATATGAACATGTAGTATATTTGCTGTTCACAAGTCGTGCTCTGTGGTTTATCCCAGTTTGGCATAAATTTTTAATCACATTAATCAAATGTTAAATGACTCCATAGTCTTAAAAGGCTTTCAATTCATGCATAGAAGTACAAATAAGAAAATATTTTAAAGGGGAAAAGATACAGCCTTATATATTGCGCTCTCTATCAGTTTATCTGAAAATTCTTGAATTTTTTGAATTTAGACAGCAACAAGACTAAGTGATTGCAGTCTGTAATTCTAAGTGTTTAGGCAGAGGACGCCCGTAAATATAGATTTACTATGTCGAGTTTTATTTACCTCAGTGCCGATGAGTCTCAAATATGTTATGGTCTGTATGGTAATCGTGTATTTTACATGTAAATCTATACATGCTATAACATTTCAAGGAAAAATAACATGTTTAAAATTTATAATATAAATACTTGTATTTCTCATATATTTTTATTGCATGGATTTTAGTTGAATTAATAATTTTTACTTGCACAGTCCTCTTTAGAAATTATTTTGTTAAAAAATACTGATTGCACACAGAAGTCATCTGAAGTTAATATAAAAAGATGCTTGAGTTTCTGATTGACAATATATATGTGATTTTTGAAGACCAAGTTTTCCAAAAATCTATTGGAATTCCCATTGTGTTCCATTTTTGTATTCGTTAATCTCGGCGAGATTCGTATATAGGGAATAAAATTTTTGGCCCGACGGGACGTCAGGCCAAAAATTTTAGTCCCTTCGAATCTCGCCGAGATTAATATTCGTATGAAGCAGAATTTGTCTGAAAACTCTTATACATGAAACGAAGAAAACACTTGATGTAGCCTAGGTTCAACTCGACATTTTGATATACATGTATATGGACGATGTATTGTCAATTATAAATGGTTTTTCCATATTGTCAATTCACAATTTTAATTTCAATTCTTATGTCGGTATCCCGGTTAGTGTGAAATAAAAAACACCACAGAGTCTGAAATATTTTGATATTTTTGTGAAGAAAACGCAAATAATAATCTAACAACCGAGCGATGTGTTAGTTTAACATTTCAATCGTCAATTTTCCTTACTTAATATGCAGCAATATACCTTTATCACCAGCATACGGGTTTATATCTCTTAGTTGATTCGATGCTAAAGATCATGCTCTACGTATGAACACTTTCTAAAACGACGCAAATTATTGACAAAAAGATGATGAGACAAGAATATCAGCAATCTCGTTTAAAGTAATTATTTCGTAAATGCCATTGTCGATACAATGACATTGTCAGCAAATGAATTTATCATAAAGTTAAATACAGACTGGTGTTTTTAATACTAATTATTAGGCCATTCAATATACACACAATACAATTGTCGATGGATTTTCCGTTATTTCCCCCATCATATAAGGAGTACATAGTGGATATTCAGGGGAAGCTCACTCCTCCATGGAACTTGATCCCACATCTGATGTTTGGGAGCAGGGGAAGCTCACTCCTCAATGGCACCTGAATCCACATCTAATGTTTGAGAGGCCCATGTTTGATCTGCTCTGATTTTGTATTATTCAATGAACAATAATGATATAATGGGTATCAAAAATGGGTACCGTACTTGGCGACAAGGACTTGAAACAACAATGTTCTGTTTGCCAAAATTCAACAAATAATCATTTGTACTGTTCAATTGACTTTAAAATGTCATAGCTAATAGGCATCAATTTGTGAGTAGTTCACACTATTTTAAAGAAGCATTTGACAGTAAAAAAGCTAAGTACTCAACGGTCACCATATGTTTGAAAAATGAGTGAAAACGACATCGTGTAAGAATATCAAAACAATTATTTAAATAGATATATTGTAGTTATCTATGTTTGTCCGAAATTCAAACAGCAAAGGTCTGAAAAGAGCAAAGAATCACAAGAAGACAAAGACAGTCTTATCTGCCATTTTCTTAAATATTCGTGGTCTTGTTGTTCAAATTCTTGTACGTGAAGACAGTCCAATTTCTGGAGGAGTCTATAAAGCAGTTTTTTGCATTAAAAAAACCAAAATCCGCGAAAGGTTTTTGAGAGGAAGGAACTAGAATCAGGAATTCACTACATTAAATTTCTTCATGACAGCTTCCAAACCCACACGCCATGAAGAGAAAAGAAGTTTTGGGATAAACAGAAAGATAATAGTTTGCTACACATAATATTCGCTGGATCTGTCAACCTTTGACTTGGTTCATTAATTTTCCAAAATTTTAAAAGAACACCTTTCAGAAAGAAGAAACAAGTAGGACAATCATAGGATCTGCCATAATCCAGTATACGAAGGGCCATACTCAAAAATGAACAGAAAAACAACCAGAAATGGATAAAAATGTTACGGACATATGTGTTTCAATTCAAAGAGAATATATTATTTTAATCATGCAGACTAAATCATTGAAAAGCGTGTTTGCTTCCGTTGATTCAAAAACTCCTTTACTCTTCTTGACGAATGGGTTCAAGCGTTGTGAAGAAAATTAATAGCCATTCTCTGTAACCACTTAAACTTCGTTGCCCGCATGGTCACCGATTTTGATGAAACTTCACCCATGCTTAGTATTGACACCAGAAACAAATATCAAACAAAATTTCGTTGCTATGTGTTCGGTTGCTATGGCAACACGGAAAAGTTTGAAAAATCAAGATTTTCAGCCATTTTAAATCTTGACTGTGGCTTAATAAAAACTAGAAAAAGCAAACAAACCATTCTAACAAAAACATGACAATTGATGTCACTTATACTGTAAAGAAATTGTTTAGAATATATCCTAATAAGTGGTAACCAAGGGTACATTTAAATACATTTAAAATTTGAAATATGCTGAAAAATACCCCGTATTCACTAATGGTAGGTCATACATGCTCAAATTCAATCAACACTTAAGAAAAACAATGAAAATGTTTGTTTGAAGTATATAAGTATAAGCAATATTATTCTATAAATAAATTTTTTGGTTGCCATGGTAACACGGTGTAACCATGCAAAACCAGTAACTAAGATTGGGTTAATGCTACTGTCTAGGAAAAACATGAAAATTCAAGACTGGCAAATATGCATCCTTAGGACATTGCAACACCAAAACCATAAGAAAAATTGGGTATAATTGCTACTTTGCAGTGTTACCATGGAAACAAAGTACCACTGCTTAAATGTGAATTTTTTTTCGCTGCTTTAAGAATTAAATTGCCATTTATTCAAGAAACAAATTAAAGGACTCAGCTTGAATGTACTTATCTATTAGAACTGAAGTTGAATGTCAAATATTGCTAAAATTTGATGAAGAAAACAACACTGTTGCTATGGTTAGGGAAAACGTTCGATTTTGTGAACTTTATATCAGTATTAAACCCTGTGTGCCAACTTCTTGCATCCACTTAGAGATTGCAGTCAAAATGAAAAGTCAGGTGAGCTGTTTATAAATATCAATCATAAAAGTTTTGGGACTCTACATTTAAGGATACGTATCCAAGGAAAGAAAATATTTTTCAGGTTTTTAAGCATAGATTTTCTGCTTATTTCTATAGCAACGCTCTATTTGAAGAATCTAATCTGAATTTTTTCAAATGGGAAAATTAGGAGAACCCCAACATCTTTAAAAATTTATCATTAGTTATGAGGAAATGTGCTTTTTTAAAAGATAGGATCAGATTTAAACATACAGAGTGTTACTTTGAAGGCTCTTTGTGGTATAAAAACCTTGGCAACCATTGCCAACCAAAATGAAATATTATATTTTGTTCTTGGTATATGTTTCAAGGCTCTTTTTTTATTATTTGGTCACATTTTCTATAATTGCTTTTTATTTTTACGTGTATGACTTTATAAAATTCAATGAATATTTTTGTTTACTCAAATACTTTGTTACCATAGTAACGTATGTAATAGTTGATTTACCAAACATGTTTATCATGCATTTGAGACATTTGACCTTCAACTTTTGGAAACAGCCATTGCCAATTGTTTGCTTTGCCGCAAATGTTAACTATGGGGCTCTAAACATGTTAAAAAAATGCCATTTTTCAAACTTTAAGACATGTTGCCATGGTAACTATAAAACATAGCAACCATTTTTTGTCTGATTTCAGTTTAGGGTATCAATGACTTTTATCATAGAGAGTTTGGAGAAATTCTTCGTGCCACAGCTTGTATAAAATTTCAAATCATTACAGAGAATGGCTCTTAATATAGCAGATCCCTTCTCCAATAAACTTTTTTTGCAACAATGTTTTTTTTTTGTTTGTTTTTGTTTTTTGTCCAGATATTAAAAGGTCTTCCTTAATAAGAATCTGATCAACAAAACCACTCTAATGAAGAAAATGGCACATAAAACTTTCCTTGTGCTCTGACAATTCTTTGACCTTTCTAGACATTTACATTTATTGGTCTCGTGCATCCTGTTGTAATTTTTTTTTGGGGGGGGGGGGGGGTCAAAGCAATTCAGGTTCCATTACCTGTTAGAATATTAATCAAATGTGGATAATATCGATTTTTGATTTTAAAGTAAATATTTGCATATCTTACAGGCTGCCGTTTTCAAATAATGTCAGACCATAGGGTAATCATTGAGAATAAAACTAATCCAGTGTTAATTGTTTTATTCTCACTGTGAACGACTACCAAAAAAACATACCTACCAAATTTGCTATGCGCATGAAGTCAATCAAACATCATCAGTGTTAATTTGTTGATAAACATCACATCGGTTGTTAGTTCTAGTTGCCATAGTTATCATTTGACGCCCATTTTATTATTTTTTGATCATTAAAATGCATCTACTCATTTGTCTATAAAACAAATATCGGTTGCTGTTAACATCAAATATTTCAGTGAATATTTCTTTTGGATTCTAACCAAGTTTTA